GGTTGCAGCCGAAAAAATCAGGAAGGAAGCTGCTGTTTGAAAACATTTGGAATGTCTGCAACAGTTTCCTCTGAGGACAGACTTCAAGGATGATATACAGCACAAGTGAGCAGGGCAGAAGGAATCAGCTTGGGGTGTGTTAGAAATAAACCAACAACGTGACATTAAAATCAGCCCCATTTTACCTTGACTTTCAGTACCTCCTTTAATTACCTGTGCTGTGTTTGGCAAACTGACCAACCTCTCTGAGTTCAAATTCCCTCAACTATAAAAAGATTACTGGGGCTCCTGGATGGCTCAACTGGTTAAGCCTCTTCCTTTGGCTCAGGTCATGATCCCAGGGTCCTGGGATGGAGCCTCTCATTGGCCTTTCTCCTCAGTGGGAAGCCTCCTTCTCCCTCTCCCTTTGCTCCTCCCCCAGCTTGTGTGCACACTCTCCCTCTCTCTCTGTCAAATAAATAAAATCTTTAAAGATGAGAAAGATGAGAGAGAAAGAAGGTGAGGATGTGCGGGAGCACAGGGAGAGGGATAAGCAGACTCTGTGTTGAGTGTGGAGCCCAACGCAGGGCCCATTCTGGGACCCCAAGATCATGACTTCAGCAGAAATCAAGAGCCTGATGTGCAACCAACTGAGCCACCCAGGCACCCCTATAAGAAGATTATTGATCTTCATGGGGCACCTGGGTGGCTCAGTGGGTTAAAGCCTCTGCCTTCAGCTCAGGTCATGATCCCAGGGTCCTAGGATCAAGCCCTGCATTGGGCTCTCTGCTCAGCAGGGAGCCTGCTTCCCTTCCTCTCTCTCTGCCTGCCTCTCTGCCCACTGAGATCTCTGTCAAATAAATAAATACAATCTTTAAAAAAAACAAACAAACTAAACAGCCTATAGGATGCTTAAAAAAAAAAAAAGATTATTGATCTTCATACTGAAGGGTTTCTATGAAGATGAAATTTAATGTATGTGCCTACTTAACATGATAGGTGTTAACTGTCCTCTTCTGTCCCTTCTAGGGCTTCATCCCACCAACATCTATGCTGACCGACAGAAAAGGGGAGGCAAAGTTCACTCACCATTTATCCACGCGCAATGTACAAGATGTTCACAAGCTGGAAAACTGAGTGCATTTCCCTTTATTCACAACTCAAATCTTTACCCAAATGATCTCACCGTCTGATACCAGCTCAAGCTGCTTCCAAATGCCACCTCAGCTCCTCCCTCTCGCTCACAAGAACATCAAAACCATAGCCTTTTTCTCTTTATCATTCATACGTCATTTTTGTGTCTCCAAGTATTTGCCAACGAAGACATCCTCTTCTGACCTGAACTTGTTCTTCCAATTCTACTACTTCAAATAATACCATATCTGCCAATTCAATTCACAGCACACATACTAGACAATCTCCCTATTTACCATTTTAATGAAATATGTTTTCCTCCAGATTAGTAAGCCCTATCAGGAGGTACTCAAAAACAGGATCAAAAATACAGTGCTTGGTAGACCGTGACTTTGAGCAGCCATAAGACTGGCTAACCTAGCCAATATCAAATGCCATTTGTCTACTATTAATTAAAGGGAATTTTGATGAGTTATGACATGTGGGTTGTTTTTTTTTTTTTAAAGATTTTATTTATCCATTTGAGAGTGAGAGAAAGAACAAGCACAAGTTGGTGCAGAGGGAGAAGCAGACTCCCCAATGAGCAGGGAGCCCAATGCAGGGCTCAATCCCAAGACCCTGGGATCATGACCTGAGCTGAAGGCAGACACTTAACGGACTGAGCCACCCAGGTGCCCCAAGTTGTGACATGTGTTTACAAATGACAGAGCACTGAGCTCCAGAGAGATACTTTGGGGCCTTGGGGGCTGTACAGAGAGAAGTCCTGAGTCTCCAAGAGGAGACTCCACTTCCCAGCCTCCACCTCAAAGGTTTTCAGACCCTTCACATCATATAAGCTCCTCTGCCACAAGAGGTCATGCTTGCATCTCTTTCACAGTGTTCTATAAATCTTTTTCTGCTTCTCTTCGCCTACATCTATAGGGCATTGCTTAGCTGAGCCGGTATGTTAACCTTCTTGGATGCAACAACCAACCCATGGCTTAATTAGATTGTTCAGGCACTTGGTATCTCTGCCCCAGGCCTGAAACATGTCTTTTCCCCCTGGCATCTCTGGCTCTTCGGAAGTGCAGAATTCTGTTTTTAGGGAGCTCAAGGATACCCAGTAAATGATTTCTTCCATGATGCCACAATAGCACTCTCTGCTGTCCAGTTAGACCATCTTACAATACAGGGTGGGCACCTCTATGAGGTCATTGTTCAGAGGACCAAGTAGAGACCTTGGGCAAGAGTAAATCTTAAACCTACCATCATTCTACTTGAGAAGCTAATTTGCAACTTGTGTGTTTATTATGAAAGGTGAAGAATGGATCTGTTTCAACTCCTTCTCCCCACTGAGATAGCTATGGCATTGAAGGGAGTTGGTCTGTGTTCTGGAAACAGTCAGTGAGAATGCTGTTGGAAATCAATGCAACAAAATTATTGATAGAATACTAAGAATAGAAAGAATACTAGATTAGGAGCCACTCGATAGCTATAAGACCCTGAACATGCTTCTGTGACTCAAAATTTCCCTCATTTTATAATGTGAAACATGGGATGGAAGAGCTCTAAAAGCAATCCTATCTCTAAAACTCTCTTATTTTATGATACATGCCAAATAATTGAGTGGTTACAGTATGCAGAAAAATTAAGAAACGCTATAAATGAATAATACCACTTTAATGACTTTCTTATTTTTTTCTTGACCATTTATATTCTCTTATTGCTTTAGAACTGTTTTTAGGCAGGCCTGGAATTATGAAGGAAAATGTGTATCACAGACTACTCCAGTTCCTGCCTTCCTCTATCCACCTGCAAGTAGTAGTTCACCCAACTGAACATGAGAGAGCTCCCAAGAGCAGTAATAAAATCCTGGTAAGTCCATTTATTGCCCAAGCCCTCTCTCCTGGCTTCCTCCTGTATCCACCTGTTAGAGCCTCTGGTTTGCCCCTAGAGCCACCTTCCTCTTTGTTTTCCTCAGCTGACTAATATCTCTCAAATCCCTAATGGACTTTGCCCCCCAACTTTTTTATTTCGGTTAGCTGACAAATTTCTAAGTGCTTAAACCTCATTAAATAAATATTTACAAATCAAAAAAAAAAAAAACTTTTGTTCATTCTTTCAGTTCTTCTTTTCTCTAGTTTGACTCAAACATCAGAAAATGCCAATGATACTATTAGTTCCTGTTCTTATTAACCAGACTGGAAGTTTATTACCTTGCTAATAAGAAGAGAATGAGATGTAAAAGCAGTTTCAGGTGAGCGTTGGTAAAAAATTATTTGAAATTTAGAGAGAGGGGAGGGAGGGAAAGAGAGAGATGTATGGGGGATAATAGAAAGGAGAAATAAAAGATAAGTAAAATCTAACTCAGAGGTCATATCCTTTACAAATCCTACACCTTCACAGGCAAAATTAACAACCTCTTACTCAGGGCTCCCCTGTGTCTTTTTCTTTTTGTCTATTTTGCTATCTTCTACCATCATGAGTGCCTTGAGGTCAAGAATCATGTCACCTGTATCTTTGTAAAACCAGTGCGTGTTTATATTCAATAAACAAATGATGAATTGAAATGAAAAGTAAACTAACAGGGATGACTAAAGATTCCAAATGCCACAAAAATCGGGGCTGACATCATGCCTTCTGCTCATTCTCTAGCTTGCCTGGCTTAGTCAGAGACCGGGAAACTTTCCTGAAGTTTACATTTTCTGGAATTGTTCACATAAATTAATTTCTATGGCTCTTATCTCAAGGCTCTACAAATCCTCCCCTTACTCAGTATTGTCAGTCAATAAGATTCATGAAGCCTCTGTTGGTTGAGTATCATATAAGGGCTTCAAAGAACGTGTAACGGATATGATCCCCTCTTTAGGAAGCTCACAATTTAGGGGTCTTGAGGGTAGAATTCAAAACATCTGTGAAATAAACCTATCAATACTATGGCCATGAAGAGTTTATTAGTTTTTTATTAGTTTATTAGTTTTTATTAGTTTATTAGTTTTTCTCTCCTTCTTTTATTCCCCAGGCTTCATAAAATCTTATTCTCATTTGCTACTCTGCAAAAATTCCTTGAATTATCAATTCCCCAATTCCCACCTTGCTACTTTTTTATCCTCTACACTTTCAAACATCTCTGATCGGGTTGCTATTTTGAAAGACAATGTGTGGAACTGAGGAGCTGCCACAGACTTGAATCAGACTCCGAAATAATTTTTCAATGGGCAAAAATGAGTCTCTGCCGTAACAATAATCCCCACCCAGGGCAGCTCAAAGAGTAATACTATCCTTGTACTACAATCAAGGAATGTTCATACGGGTACCACAAGCGAGTGTACTCATTTTAGTATCATTTAGAAGTTAGAATCCAGTACTATTTAGTATTTAGTATCTAGCTTTATTTATTGAATAATTACCGAATAGTACTAACTATTCAGGAATACTAAATTGATTTGTTTAGGGAAACAAAGAGGTTAATACAAAATGTTAAAGCTCTAATTCCCTAAGAATCCTACAAGATTTTTCAAAAGGTGCATTTGCAAACTCTCCCTTTGTTCTTTTTCCAAAGCCAGAGATAAAGGTATTTGTTTCAAGACTCTGATCTTTGAGTTCACCTTCATTCAGTCTATATTCCCATTTAATCAAGTTATCATATTCTTAAGCCAATCCTTTCTCTCTTATCCCATCCCTCACTCACTTCCTTCCTTCCTTCCTACCTCCCTGTCTTCCCCCCGCCACCTTCTTCCTTTCCTTCCATCCTTTCCTGGTTTTGTTGTTGTTGTTGTTGTTGTTTTAGCAGGGGCAGGGACATATCTCTTTAGACCTTCAACCAGGCCAGAAGAAGAGACCATGGGGTTTCAGAGAGTAAGCAAAAATCCATCCTCCTACCACCATAGCTGTGTGCAGACACTTACGTTGAAGTCGTACAACACACCAAAGTTAGCCGCAGATGCCTCTTCAGCTCTGGGAACTGTCTTCCTAGGTAAACTGCCATATGGCAAACCCCAGAGGTACTATACAGAGAAGCAAAGAAGGCAGTTAATAATTGGAAACAAAGTCTGAGCCACACATGTGATCACAAATGGTTTTGTTTAAAAGCACTTCTTACACATTTTCATGGCAACTCTGTGGGTCTCCACGTGGGGTCCCATTTTCTGGGAATCGACTACTAAATCCAGAGTGAAGAACAAAGGCAGTGCTAAGAGCCCTGCATGCTGAGCTCAGTGGACCACCAGCAGTTGGCCAACCACATTGCCCAGAGGCTTGCTGAGCAGCCCCACTACCCACCACCACCTCCAAACTGGTCTTTCTTAAGGGGAGGTCTGGAGAGGAGAACAGAGGCCTCTGGGGGAACTAGAGTGTTCAAAAAAACAACAAAAAACATACTACCCACATCTTCCTATGGGGCTACCTCCTAGGGGTGGAGGTGGAGGGAGATTCTGTCCTTCATGTTAAGGAAGAGACGACTCAAGTGAATCGCTCATCAGTTTGAGGGTGTCAAACAGGAGGAAAGATTGCACCCTCATTATATTTGCTTTACCACTAATTCAGGTTTACTGCCCTCATCTGATGCTACCAGACTGAAAGAGGAGTTATTAGAGGCAGAGCCAACAGGTGAGAGAGCAAGAACAGGGCTCCAGCAGGTGTCTTGGTGAGAACTGGAAAAAGCACCCCTCTAGCCCCAGGGCAGGCACATGGCTTGCCAAGCAGATGCCACTTCTTGTGTAACATGAAAACTTTCCTTCCCTTGGGCTGGAGGTGGAGGATGAATGTGGCTGGAAGGCTGGGTGCCAAGCCTGCCTGGGCAAGGGCTGGAAATCAACCCCTCCTTCTACCCTCTGCACAAGAGGCACGGGTTTCATGGAAGCTTCTTGGCTTCCTAGGATTGAACAGAGCAGAAGGTGGGCCCTCTCCATGCTGTCTCACCCCAAAGTGAGGGGCCACAAAAGACAAAGAAGATTAAGGTCTCAGGCTTGCCCAGGGACACAGGAACTTTGGGCAAAAGGGCATCTGCCTAGAAGGAATGCTGAATGAGGCTGGTGGGACCAAGCAGAGGCAAAATGGAGCTTTGAGCTCCGGGGAAGGGACCAGCCTTGGCCTCTGGTGTTGCTGCAAAGCTAGCACGTCCTCCTTTGTTCTTTTGCTGGAGCTGGGAACCATTGCCTAGAAAATAGGATGCCTCTCAGCATCTTACACAAACCTGTAAGACAGCATCCAAAAGACAATACGCTTCTTCGTTCTAGGACTATATCCCATCGGACACAGACTGGCTCCCTGCTCTCTCTCAGGCATTCTGTAATCTCCTAGAGGTGGAGCAAACCAGCCACAACCTTCCATTTCCATGGCGGCTGTGCGGTATGGGGGAATGAGCAAGCGTGGCTGACAGAACTTCAGAGACCCTGAGTCTAACACTACGGGGCGTCATGACAGCCAGTGAAGAAGTTTTAGGGTTCCTTAGAGAGATGAGCAGAAAGAAAGCTGGGGTTAATTTGAAGGTGATGACATGCATTCTGCCTCGCTGTCTGAAGTTTTCACTTGAGAGATGAACTCTACAGGACTTCTAATCTGTGTCCACGGTCTCCTAGCCCTAGAACCTTCCGAATTACTTCAGGGATTCTAAAACTAATGGATTAGGTTGCAAAATCTTGGGACGAAGGGTGCAATCATGGTACTACACCCAGAACAGCATTAAAAAAATCCTCACTCTGGGATACTAGTTAAGCCCAATAAGCAATGTGTGACTCTGCTTCCACAGTTGTAAATGGGGAAAGAAAACTCTTCTATAGTCTACATCGTGAATTTGTTGTGAGGCTCAGGAAATAAAAGAAGTGAAAGTGTTTTTGTGCTTTTAAAAGCTAAAACTTGTCATGAATGTAAGGAATTATACCTGTGGGGAGGCTTGATACAGAAACTGGCCCTGATTCAAAACCATGAGGATAACAAGTCCCTCAAAACACTTAGTTTTGGCTGTGGGCAATGCTGTTCTGAACAAACTGGCTTTGAAATAATGGTACCTGAAAATACCCTTTGTAGCTTGAGTAAAGCCTAACCTGCCTTTTGTACAAGTAAGCATCCAGTGGTCAGAGTCCTTTAACTTCTTATGGATAAAGGCTCCAACCCTCGTCTTGCTTCTTGGCCTTAGTTGATGGACTCTTCCCACCACCCCCTCATGCCGCCTTTTAACTCAGGGCTTTGCCTTCTTCTTCAGTCTGGAAGCACTATCTGTTTTCCTCTCCTCTCTGCCCTTGATCCTAAAAGACCCCTACTGTGTATGTGTACATGTGCATGGGTTGGGAGGGGGGAGGGCTGGTTTATCTCATTTTACATCCAGAAAAAATTGCTCACTTTGTGTTTCTTCGGATATAAAAGCTAAATGTCCTGAGTTGCACTAAGATGTTTTTCAAAGCAAACTTGGCAAAATAAATACAATTCACAAGGTGTGAAAGCCTTCCTTTTGAGCAATTAACATTTGAGCACAGGGACCACCTTGGGAATCTGATAGAAGCCATGAACCGTTCCACATAAAAATGTACATTTAAACATTCACACGGCACTTTATGTATGATTTCAGGAGGCTCATCTACCCTCTGGAGCAAGGATTAGGATCTTTGGCCCATGGGTACCATTTTGAAGATGAACCTTGTTGCAAGCACTAGGACTCCAAGAGCGGGTATCGGCCAGTTAATTGTGCTAGTCTTCAAAAGAGAAAAGAAATTTTCTAGGACAGTGTTCACATTTTAGCTTTTTTTTTTTTGGTAAATGATTAAGTCCAATTCTTACTTCTGGCAACATGATGAGGCTGAACGTCAGGATGAAGAGAACCATGTTTACCCCATACATCCATCTCAAGAAGAGGAAGTATGAGGCCACAGAGGAGCCAAACTGACCTGTCAAAGAGAAAATGAAAAGGTTGGAAGGCAGGTCAGCACCAAGCGAAACAAAAGCCGAGTCTTGGTGCTTTCAAAAATTAATCTGCTCACCGCAACACACTGGTCCTTTCCACACTGACGGTTTTCAGCAGTCTGTTTCTATGCAGGAGGAGAAAATGTTACTGGTAATGGAAGTGCTCCCTGCTAGGTAGATACAGCCGCATAGAACTACTGTGACCTACACCTTCAGAGCCCACCCAGGGGAGAGCGGCCTGGGGCTTAGCAGCGAGGATTGCTAGTTGAGGAGCCCATTTTATTCCTGGAGGTAATAAGTGAATATCGTTAAGTGAGTGATACCTGTAAAGTGATTACCACAAGACCTGCCAGTAGTTAAATCATTATCCTTATAATCACTATATTTCTGCCTCCCTTCTCTCAGGCAACAATGCCCTTCTCCAAGGCCTTTCCCTTCCCCACATCCTTCAGGGACAGCTCGCTTGCAGACCCTCCGGTGCTATTTGTGTGTGCGCCACTGCCGTGTTTTAGGTACCATGTAGGAGCTGAAGCTCATTCCCTCACTCTTCACATATTTAAAGTATCTTCTGTCAGGAATTATCTTAGATGCGAAACACGATGTCACAGACAGGGTTATCGCCCTCATGCAACTTACATTTTAGGGAGGTAGGGAAACAACAGAGAGGCAGGAATTTTAAAAACAAATAAATAAAATATGTATCTGTTTATCATAATATATATGCTACATTCTATTATATATCATATTAAATGTATGTACAGTATATGTCATATTATACACTATAGATGCATATTCATATACATTGTATAGTATCTGTATTTTGTAGGATGTATCATATATGCATGTAGCATATATAGGATACATATGTATTATATATAAAATCACATACGATTGCATTATTATAATAATTATAAAGATATGTAATCATTATAACCAGATGGGTCCTAGAGAAAGGAGGTAAAATATTGACAGCGTTGCTTTCAATTAGCTTGCTGAGAAAGGTGTATTAGGGCAACATCTGAGCAGTTGTCTCAAGCTGGACAAAGAGGAAGCAAAGCCCCGGCTGGGGAAGAGCAGCTCAAGCGGAGGAAAGAGTGAGAACAAATATCTGGACACAGGCAAGAGCTCAGGACAGTTGAGGAACAAACCGAAGGGCTATGTGCTTGGAGCCCAATAAACAAGGGAAAGCGGTGACAGATGATGATGAAGAGATGAGCCAAACCACACTGCATAGGGCCTCCTAAGGACAGGTAAGAAGTGAGACTTTTATTTTAAATTGTTGAGAAAGTCACCCAACAGGTGTTAAATAGTGGGGTGGGGGGTGGGGTAGAATGGGACCTTTAAATTCTTTTCAGCTTTGGGAAATGAATTGGGAGGGGACAGGCAAGAATGTGCCATCAACCTGCACATGCCCCAGGGGAAAGTGATCTGTCCAAATGGTATTTACGAGAAAAAAAATTTTTTAAGATTTTTTTTTTTTTTTTTTTGACAGACAGAGATCCCAAGTAGGCAGAGAGGCAGGCAGAGAGAGAAGGAGGAAGCAGGCTCCCTGCTGAGCAGAGAGCCCGATGCGGGGCTCGATCCCAGGACCCCAGGATCATGACCTGAGCTGAAGGCAGAGGCTTAACCCACTGAGCCACCCAGGCGCCCCACGAGAAAAAAAAATTTTTCTTAAATCAGAGAATGGAAGAGGAAGAAAAAACATGAATTTGGAGTCTCAGGTTGAGATTTCATCTGATAACAAAAGCCACACTTTTTCTTTATCACTTGAAGTTCAACATCAAGTAGCTAGTTTTCTTCCCAATTCCCAATGCCCCCTATGCAGTTGCCCAAGAAGAAATGATGAACACCCACAGCCGCCCACCCCATCAGGCCCTTTTTCCCGACTCATTCAGCAAAACACGTCCAGGGACCAATGGCTTTCTTGGCCCTCTGGCTTTGCAGCGTCACCAGTAGGGAAACATTATTGCAGAAAGGAGGCGGCTCAGATGAAGCAAATTCCAGTCTCTGATTAGTAAGATAAGGCTGAGCTCACACGAGAGTCATGCTTCTCTTTCTGAAACTCAGGTCTATTCTCTAGGACCCGCCTCGCCTATTCCCAAAGCATAGTGACCATTTTTATAGGAACTTTAAAAAAAAAAAATGTAAATGGACATTTTTAAAAATCAATTATTTTTTAGTCTGAATGTTTGGATCCATTTCCCTTTGTAGAGAGATGCAGAGTTCTACTGGATTTCTAAAAGCGTGTGGTTTTGATAAACATGCCCATAGGAGCTGTAACCCGATGCACAGGTCCATCTGCAGAAAGGCTGCGCAGATCTGCCCTTCCCAGGACATCTGATCATCCACCTGGCTCCCAGTGATTTCAGATCATCTCAGGGCTGTTATCTATGTTCTCTGGTAACAACTGCCCAAGCCCCGCCACAGCCGGGTTCACGTGTCAGGTTTTATTGAAGGCAGTAGACTTCTTGCTTGCTAGTCATTATGGTTACTCATTAACTGAAGAAGGAACTTGGCCTCTAGGCATCTGGAGCAAGTTTTTCCTGAAACACCGAGATCTTCTGGTATAGAGTCCCAAGCACATGGTGCTGACTCATCCTTTCCTCTTTCCCCCATCCCTCCATCCTTCCCTCCCTCCCTTCCTTCCCTCCTTCCTTCTAAAAGTTTTGCTCTTCTCATTAGCACCCATCACCCACCTTCTCTCAGCCTCCATGCACAACCCTAGCAAATAAATTTCTTAAATTGAATACAGAGTACAAATATACCTAAAGGCAAAAAAGAGAAGCAAATTATAAGGCTTCTGAAAGTATCCCCTCCCCCAGATATAATCTATATTCATTATGGATGAAATATACTTTAGACTCCAAAGTTTTCAAGCTCCATTTTTTCCACAACTATTTTATTGGAAGTAGAGAAGTAACCATTAAGCAGCCCCCCTTCCTTACTTTTTTTTTTTTTTACACAATCCTAAATCTAAAGGAAATGAATTTCAGGAAAACAGATTTCATTAAGAGTAGTGATTGTACAAATGACCCAGACACAGGTCAAAGAGACCAAGAAATCCAGAAGACATTGTTCCTTCTATAGAACACATCAATGGCAGAGGGCAGACATCAGTGACAAAAGAAAGATTGTAAAGGAAAGAACACAAATCAACCGGTTGGCATCCATGCTCCACAGGACCTTTCCCTGTCTCAACACAAAAATAAAAAAGGAGAAATCTTTCCTCTTCATATCCATTTATCCTAGTGGTTCTATCTGATCAGAGATAGGTGGCTAAATCTGGCGTTGACTGAAAAGAGAAATCTTCCTGAAGTGTAGCTAAGAAATCATAATTAAAAAGAACAGTCATTCCATGTGCTTAGTCTCCTAGATTAAATTGTTTTACTCTTGTAAAGAACAGGAATGGGGGGGGGGCGCCTGGGTGGCTCAGTGGGTTAAAGCCTCCGCCTTCGGCTCAGGTCATAATTCCAGGGTCCTGGGATGGAGCCCCACGTCAGGCTCTCTGCTAGGCGGGGAGCCTGCTTCCTCCTCTCTCTTTCTGCCTACTTGTGATTTCTGTCTGCCAAATAAATAAATAAATAAATAAATCTTTAAAAAAAAAAAGAACAAGAATGGGTAGTAGTAGTAGTAGTAATATTTGTAGTAGTACTAGTAGTAACAGCTGACATATGTTGCTGGTCAATTATGCATAAACTTCAATTACTGTAAACTTCGTCAGCTCATTTTATTGCTTCTAGAACCCGATAAGTTTAAGTGTTATTAGTCCCACTGTGTGGATGGGGAACCAAAAACCTAAACACAGCATTTGACTGAACCAAGACTTGATTAATGACAGTAATAGCTAACATTTAATGAATTTTGTTTCAGTACCTATTTTGATCTTGTGTATTAATTCCTTTAGTCATCATGGAATTCCTGCAAGAAGAGAACTCCTATACTCTCACTTTACAGAGACTTGGGCCCATGGGTTACACAGCTAGTAAATGATGGAACCAGGGTCACACAGGGAGTTATGTAGTGATAGGTAGTCAATGATGAAGCCAGGGCTCTAAACTAGGCAGCCTCGATCTGTAGGTGTTCGACTCCAAATCCAGATCTCTCTTAACCACAGTGGTATACTGCTACTCAAGTAGAATCGTAATAACACTATTATAAAAAAAAAAAAAAACCAAAAAACTAGAATATGCGGAGTAAATAAGCCATGAATGTGTATGTCTGAAAAAACATAGGCAATTTCCACCAATCAGCTAAGGCCATTCACATTCATAAATTGGAACGGTGCCCAGAAATGACAAATTCTTTTTTTTTTCTTTAATCTAATAAATTCTGTTTCCATAATGAATTATTAATATAGTAAAACAGAGTCCTTGGTACATATTCAAGTGAGGCCTTTTAAGCTTATGCAATATTCTTGTTGCTGAATTTCCTTGCATTTCTTTTAAACTAAGGTTAAAGTTTCACCTCTCCCTTTGGTTATTTATTATTAAGGCAAAGTAATTTATAGTCTGTCATCATGTATAATTTCCTCTTGAACAGATGGGTAATAAGACAGGCAGACAAATATGAGCATTTCTAAATGTGGGGGAAAAAGACCAATTTAATCACCTGCTGTATGAGCACAGTATAAATACCATCTCATTAGGCTAGGACATGAAGCATAGTTTCTTTCGAACTGGCCTAGGGGAATTAAATGTGGCAAATTTGATTTCCATTTTCTGCAGCTCTGAGGCCAGTAGGGAAACATGAAGACATGAAACTTGAAGAAACTCTGTTCTTAGGGTTGTCTATCTACAGATCTTTCCGGTCTGAAAAATAGGTCACTCACACCTTATTTTAATGCCATACTTTACTATTAGGAAGAAGTAGATTTCACTTCTGAGAAAGACTTGTAATCTCCAGATTGAAGGACATTCCATGATTTAATCCATGGTTTTGCTAATAATTCTGGAGTCACAATGGATATAGACTATATTTCCTGGGAGTACAAATACACAGCTTTTTCAGCAAAATACGAAATACAATGTAGTTAATACGGTGTATCCTTGTGGGTAATCCTGGGGTTCTTAGCAGGGCCTCTTCACAAGGCCGACGTGACAGTAAAATTCAATGGCAGCCCCACGTGACGTAGAATTTCACAGCATCCCTTTGTGGCAGGAATGATCAAATCTATTTTTGATGTGAAAAACAAAAACAAAAACAAAAAACCACCTGGGGTCCTTAAGTAACTGTCTAGTCCACACTCACAAAGGAATCCAGGCCTTACTGGAATCAAGATATGATCAAGCATGAGTTTTAGACATAAGTTCCCCTCTCCATTCTGCCAATTATTAGAGTTTTATGAAAACTCAGAGAAGACTGGCAATTTGGGACTCTCTTAAAACCACACTTAAAAAAATACTTGTTTAGTATTATCTAGAGATTGAGCAGAGAATGAGGGCAAATGGATTAGAAAGACTTTGGAATGGAACTTAGCTGCTCCTGTTTTAAACATGCCTCTGACCACAATCTGAAATTTCTTCATGATTTAATTGCTTCTACTTTATGACCTGTCTTTCCCACCCAAGTGCATATTAACATAACTGGATGTAAGATCGAGCCTTGACTGTCCTTTTCAGTACTGCATGCCCCGTGCCTGGAAACAGGCTGAATAATGGCAGGTACTCCGTGAATATTTGCTCAATTAATCAGTCCAGCCAAGTTTATTTTGAAGATTAAATGAGGTATTATGTTAGATTATTCTGACTTTCAAAAGGAATATAATAGTATTTCTGACCCTTCTGTAGGATTAAATGGTCATTTCTGTAAGGGAAAAATATTGGTGTTATTTTACAATATGAAATATGTATTTTATAAATAGGGTACATATTTAATCTACTTTTTTCTAAGAAGAACTAGTGGAGAAGGTAAATTATGCAGGCCTCTTTCGCTGTAAGTCTCTTTTTCATTTAACCATTTCAAATATTTATCACTCAAAAGTACAAAGAACTTCATCTGTTTACATATAAATCTCAAGCTGATTGTAACTTATAAATCATAGAATGTTAGGTTGGAAATTGCCTTGCACAGGAACCAATTAAACCCCAAATTTGGGGGAAGCTCCAAATGTAGAAACAGAGGGCCCCAAGTATAAAAGGATTATCCATATTATAGAGCCAGTCAGGGGCAAAAGAACCTCAACCTTTAGAAAACTGATGGCATGCCCCATTTCTTTCCCAATTTCCATTTACTTAAGTTTCAAAGACCATCACAGATGCCTGCCTCCCTGTCCTCCGTAGGGTACTTTCTATGAGATGGCTGGTACAACCCAATCAACCCAATGACTTTACTAATACTAATACTAAGCCTCTTAGAGAGGCTTCCCACTTGTCAACTACTACAATAGCCCAAAAGCATATGATGTCCTGATGATTACCATTAAGATCATAATGCATTAAGCATCTTAAAGAAACTTAAGTACATAATTAAACAAATAACTCATTCAAAATAAACACATGAGAAAATGGGACACAATTCCCCAAATAAGATAATGATCAAGAAAATCTCTAACTGCTCATCCTGAGGCAGAAGGAAAAGTTTATAAAATCTTCCTTCAAGTAACAAACGAGTAAGCCCCATTGAGAAAAACCATAAGCTGTGGAGTCAGAGAGACTTCCTGACTTCTCAGCTCCTCTGGTGACTCATTCTGGGACCTTGATTTAACTGCGACTTGAAAATAGGAAGCATAATGGGCACACTGCAGGCATGTTTGAGATTATATGAAGTGACTGTAGGGTATCTAGGTGACACATGAAGAGGGGTGGTTGTGGCCGTTGTTGGTGGAATAGAAAATAAGGATCAATTCTTCGCAGTGAGGCAAAGCACTTTCTCCACAAAGGTGGAGAAATCAGGACAACCTAATCAAACCCAAAATTGCATGCGGAAGAGAAAATAATCCGCATCTGCTGGAGTTATCCAGCTGACTGTTCCAAATTTCCTGGAGGAAGAGGGGAGGAAGGAAGATAACTAAAAGTATAACTGAATGGCTCTCGATCTGTCTTTCCCTCAGTAACACACACGCTGGATGGTAGTCGTACTGTCACTCATTCCTGTGTGAGCTTCCTGGCAAGAAAAGTCATTGGTTTCTATCCCACTCAAGATAAGCCACTGCAACACAGGTGGGCAGGACATTATTATTGAGACAAGCTAGACAGTGGACCTTCCACATAAATAATCTGCAAATGTACATATTTTAACTCTCATTATTACAAATTTCTTGAGCTACATCTCATGACTATCAAGATTCAATCCTATCATCTCATAGATGAATAGACCAAGGCCCAGAGGGATTAAATGACTGTCTCAGAGTTGAACAGCAAAGCAAAGAACCAAATCCAGAGTTCTTTCCACACAAATTGTATCAAGACCTTAATGTTCCAAATGGCTTTCCGCTCCTCAGTGCATTTCAAGGTACCACATTTGAGCTGCACGCTTGAAACAAGGATTCCACGGTGCCTGTTCTGCCCTGCTGGGTCTAAATTCTTTTTCGCATTTCCTAGAATGGCAAACATTTGAAGGACATCTACTATTTAGTTTTATTCAATGCGTATTTATTAAAGTCAAGCAAATTTTAGGTCTGGTGATCCAGGAGTACACCAAACCAAACCTCTGCTTTCGTAGTCTACCAGAAGAAGTAAACGTAAAATAAAATGAAATGAAATTACACTTAAAAAGTAAATTAAATATACAGTATTTTACACAGCAAGTGTTAAGGAGGAAAATAAAGCAATGACGGGGCGCAACAGCAATCTGTGGGACGAAGTGCAATTAATTAGCTGATGTATTTTTAATTCATTGCCACCTGATAATGAGAGACAGAAGACTGAGGAGAGGCACTCCTAAAACATGCCCAATCATGTCCATGAAATATCCATCAACTGTGTTTTCTCCCTTTGGAGCCTCCATTTCAATTATGCAATGCCACATTTAACCAGCAGGAAAACCTGCCTCTTGATCTGAAAAGTCAGGGAGGAAAATCAGATCCTAGTCAAAACTCTTAGAAACCAAAATATGGCAAGATTATGCTCAGAATTGTTTCAGATATTATCCCTTTTTCTTTATATTCTTTACTCTTCTTATATTCTTTTTATGTTTTATTTTTTCCTTTATAGGTTTAAAAAATTATTTATTACATTTACAATGTTTTAAAATTTTTACTTGCCTTATTCTAAGCCTAGAGCACTGTTCTAAACAGGCTTTCGATGGACTATATTCTGTACCCTAGAAATACCGTATCAAATGAAGTCACAATATGACATTCACATAGCAAGTTCCTGGATGATGATTACTTATTCTACTTCAGATTTGAAAATGAGGCTTTAAGATTTCTTCATTCTTTTTAGACATTGTTCATTTTGATTACTATCTCTCACAAGAATATATATTTTCAATGTCATATTCATTGCCAATATAAAATCGCAGCCTTCCTCGTGATACTTATGACTCAGCGTAATTGGACACAATACTGACTTCCCTGTACAGAAGAGAAAAGGTCAGAATGAGAATATTTGGGTCTAACATAAAAAAGGAGAGCAGGGTCTCCAATGCTGTGACTGGCAAGTGCTCGCAAATTTTCACAGTAAACAAAGAAAATGTAAAAAATGGTTATTTTTGTTTGTTTGTTTTCTTGTTTTTAACCTTCCCAATAGTATAGAAACTGAGAAAGTCATCTGGTAAGTTTATAAACAACCTTCCCATCTAATGAGATCTCATGAGCACTTACTTTCAATCGCCTTGATTTTATTTTCCCAAGGGACGCAGGCAGCTTTGAAGTTTTCAAAATCACGAAGAAATTTTGCCCATTTCTGAAAAGAAAGCCAAATACAGCAGTAAAACCCAGCCTCTTGTTTGCCAAGAGGTTTATCTTTTGCCCCCAGCCCAAAATATCACAAGACAATGAGCTTGGAAAGATTTCTCTGGTGCCACATAAGATTTTTTGTAAAAAGGGAAAACAGTAGGTTTTACTTGCCTCCCTGCTCCTCACCCACCCCCACACCAATTCAATTAAAACAACTTTGATGCATCCCCTGTTTTATAGCAAATAGGCTGAAACAGATCTGTGTATTCTGCTCAACAATAAGGGAGCAGGGACTGAGTTTGCACCCGGTATTAGGCGATCAGCAAATTGTATGTGTTTAATTAAATACTCATTCATTGCATGAAGAAATTGATGAAATATGAGTAAAACACAGCTTCTGCCTTGAAGGGCTGCTGGGTCTACTAGAGTAAGCTGAACATAAACAAGAGACTTCAACACAGGATGGTGTTACGACATAGGACAATTTTTATTCTGGTACAAGTAGAGCAGCTAATTAAATGGAAAGGCATAGTATCACAGAAAAGGGAGGAAGAAAAAGATTCACAGTTTTTATAAAAGACCTTCATTCCATTTTATTCCACAATGTTGGGTCATCCATGGTCAAGAGGACCACAAGGACCACATGGAAGAATGGGAATGGGGTGCATAACTTCACGTTAAGTGTGCATTATCCTGAGATGACATGTGAGATGGACAGGCATGTAGGCCCCAAATAACAGTATGAGACAAGTCTGAAGTTCAAAAGATTGCCCCAACTAGAGACAACCCAAATGCCCATCTACAAGAGAATGGGTGAACAAATTGTGGTGCCTTCATACGATGGATTACAACAGACTGATAAAAATGAACTAGAGTGGCCACAACATGAATGTATCTTATGAATATCATATTGCATCAAAGAAGGCAGAAACAACAGTATAAATATCATATGATTCTATTCATTTAAATGATAAGAACAGGCAAAATTAATCCCTGACATGTATCATAAATCTATCTCTATTACCTATTTAAGATTTATTAATTTTATTCACAAAACCCCATTGTATGGAAATGCACTTAGCTTACAGGTGGGGTAACAATTGTAAAGGGGGATAATAATGCCTGCATACCTACTTTGCTTTGAGAATTAAATATGATAACTTAACTGAAGGATTCAGTTCAGTGCTTTGCATATAGTATATACTAAATAAATGTTAGTTTCTTTTCTATCTTTTCCAAGAATCTGTTTATATTGGTGTATCCCTTTTTTTTCTCATGTTCTATTTAATTTGTAGTTGATGTTATTTATAGAGAAGAGGTATATGGCCTAAAACTTGTAGACATTTGAGAAAGAAACTTTAACCTAGAACCCCTTCACTACCAGGGAATAAAAATCAAAGGGGCACAGTCTTTGCCATTTAGGGGTGAGAAAAATCACACAAGTAAGTCTTCTGCCATAAATCAATGTTTCTCAACTTATTTTTCATTTTAACTCCTTTAAGTAGTATTTTGGGGCTTTTTTATTTGTTTTCTGAATCACATCCTGCCCCAAATTTTATTACAAAGATATACTGTGTATTTATTTTATGTGTGTACATGCTTCGTACACAGAAAATGTAAGACATTTTCCCTCTCCCATAACAAAACCAATTTTCTCCCTCCTTGAATCAATATGGCTGCCATTGAGAATGCATGGCATCAACTAAACTGAGTTGCAAAAATGCTTACCTTGGCCATCATCATCTTAAATGCAAACCACTGCTTTCCTTTCCCTTTCCCAAGGGCTCCTTCATTTTCACTCACAAATTTTTTTGCTTCCCTGAGAAAATAAAATAAGGGTAAAGGAGGGATAGTTGAGAATCATGGAAGAGAGGTAATGGACATTTCATTTTATTAGGTTTGCAGCCTTATTTCTTCTAGAACCTTAGCACATTAATTTAAGCTCTATTTCAAGCTCAGGGCTTGTAATAGATGTTTAAGCTTTTTAATTCTGGCCAGGAAGAATAAGATATTTTAGGCTCACTTATTATTATTAATCAGCTGGAGTCATGAAAAAGCAAGGAATTTATGCTAAGTGTCAAAATAGAGAATGCTAGTTCTTTTCATTTCTACCACATATAAAATTGAATCCAACGTTGACTTCAGATTCTGGCAGTCAGAATGTTTATTTTAAAACTCTTAAAAAAAAAAAAAGTCAAAGAGTTTAGGACAAACTGACACAGAACACTTTTTACAGACCTGGTGTTTAATCTCATAAAACCAGTTATGACTTGAAACAGAGCAATCAGCAAGTGGGGTTGAGGGAAGAAGGGAAAGGAAAGGAATATTTTGAGCTTCACAACCCAAAAGAGCCTCAAATATAAACCTTAACATTATTCCCAAATAGTTACACATTTATAGCAGTCACATTAGTGTGTGTGTGTGTGTGTGTGTGTGTAGAAAACCATTAACTCAGCAAAATGGTCAATGTTAAATGTACTGCAGTTTTGTAACTTTGGCCGATTTTGCTATCGTTGTGTGTTGGATATGAGAAAAGAATTTTATGAACAGAGGTGGCCCAGGATTGTCTTAACCTTTTAGGGGCTGTAGAGGGCATCATCCAGAAGAACCCAAATCTGGACTGCCTTTGCACAGCCGCAACATTGTCAGCTGAATGGTACCTGGAATGTGTGATTTTACAGAGTAAGACCCTTCAACATAGGACTATAAATAAACTTATTAACATACAAAGTAAATTAGTGACAGTGCTAAACTCGTGATTTTATAACCCCCAGTGATCAGAACCCAACACACACCTGCTGACTTAGCCAGTAACTCCACAGTGGGGCCTCCTCACCCACCTGCGTCTCTGCACCCGCCCATATTCTGCCATAAAAACACGAGGGCAATGGAGTAGATTCTCTTCAGTCATCAGACAGAACCCCCCAATGAGTTCCTTGATGACAGGGACAGGATCTTGTCCTTCTGTATCCCCCACAGCACTGACCACTACTTTGAGCAGAGGAGGTGCTTAATAAACCCAAACCTTTTGGAAGTGGAGCTGAGAGGTGTACTTGAGATACACATAGAGAGGGAAGTATCCAATAATTGTATTTTCCACATTAATTAATGCTCTGAAGCAAAGTCCCTCCTAAATGTTGGGATTGTACCCTTCTACATGAGTCTTCCCAGAAACTTAATAGGACAGGGGGCCCTTGGGTGGGCTCAGTTGGCTGTGTCTGCCTTCGACTCAGGTCATGACCCCAGAGTCCCAGGACAGAGCCCAGCATCTAGCTCCTGGTTCGGAGGGAGTCTGCTTCTCTCTCTGACCCTCCCCTCTTTTGTGTGCTCTCTCTCTCTCCCTCTCACTCTCTCAAAAAAAAAAAAAAAAAAAATATATATATATATATATGTATATATATATATATGTGTGTGTATATATATATATATATATATATATGTATTTTTAAAAATGAAAAAATGGGGGAAAAAGAAAAGAAAAGAAAAAAAATGAAAAAATGGGGGAAAAAGAAGAGAAAAGAAAAGAAAGGAAAATAAAAAAGAAGAAAAGAAAAGGAAAGGAAAGAAAAAAAAAAAAAGAAAACTTACTAGAGCAGACCGCTGGAAATGGGAAGAGTTACTAGATTGGCCCTGACATTTGACATCATCTCTGAGCTATGAAGATTAATTTCAAAATGGTTTCTAAAACATTCTACACATTCTAAAATGTTTAATGAAGCCATATCAAAAAATACAAACTGAGCTCTCATGGCTGGGTTTCCCCATCCATGCAATCAAGAAAACATATCCCATTTAAGCATTAACAATATTTTCTAGAAATGATATGGCAGGAGTGAGCATGGCAGCTACCTCACAGACTTTTATACAATGTTGAACTAAACTCAGCTTGACTCTAACTTGAATTCTGACCCATCTTCTGTGATTTGTCTCTGTGACCTTGCCTGTCTTTTGACCCCCTCTGTACACACATTCAGGAGGTTCGTTTCTCAGAAGAAACCATGCATGCCCAGGATTCACACACACGAGCACAATCTGCAGTTTCCCTCAGTTACTTCATGGCCTTTAGCAGGTCAAGACTCCTCAACACACAAACTAGAGGGTGAGCGACGACTTCCCTGCTCGCCCAGTGGTAAGAAGAAGAGGAGATCGAAAGTGTGGAAGTGTTGGAGGGATTATTACACAGTGGATTTTCTTGTAACAGTTGGTTCATAACTGAAAAAAAAAATCTGTTTTAACATGATTGATGCATTACAGAACAATTTAAGCATAATGTAAATTTTGTGTAAACTGTTGGCTGCCATTTTATACCCATCTTTGTCAATGTGTCATTGATGATATTTCTGAGTAGTATTCCCCTGGCCCCAGTTTTCCTATGAGCCCTGTGGTTTTTCATTGCCTTATTTTGCACAGTGTGGTGGGTTTTAGGAACCCACACATGGTGTTATAGTGGAACTGACTGTAGTTCAATTATTTGGCATCAAAAATGTTGAAATTCATACAATCAAGTATACATGGGAATCATCACATCATTCCATTCTAATAAACACATGTAAATAGAGAATCAAACATTCTTCCTAGTAATAAAATCAAAATGTGTTTTTCAAATGTAAAGTGCCCACCTTATGGGCATATCTTCTACTCTGGATACTTAGCAGATAATTTAAAAGACGCTCAGTTTGTTTTTTTAGAGTTACATCACTTTCTAGATGAGTGGCCAATTAGAAAACATGACTGCTCTCAACAGCCATAAGTGTAAAGATATAGCTATTCTACTTCATATTTCTGACAAGATTTTTTTTTTTTTTCTCTGACAAGATTTTTAATTTTGTGAACTGATGATTGTATTATAGGATCATTAAACTAGCAAGATTTAAGAGAGAGAGGCAAGTCAGGGTTATAACCAAATTACAATCACCACAAAATTAATCATAAATTCATCTAATAATATCGAAACCTATTTACATGGCATTCATAAGGTTTTTGTCAGTTATTATAAATATGGTTTTCCCTGGGAGCAATCTAAACAAGGTTTTATCATTTGTTTCTTCAACTGACAAGTTTTCCTGATGCTAGGCATACTTTCCTATTTCTCTCCCAAGTACTAACCCACCCCACCCTCAACATACATATTCTGACATTGATTTTCAGATAAAAATCTGGACTTCACTCAACTCCACGTAGTCTCAGGTAGAAATTTCTTCTCTGTCCTAATGCCTTACCCACCTCCTCAGTTCTCCAAATAACCTTCCCCAAGTTTTATACCAGAAAGATCCCTGAAGAGTCATTCTAGTTCCTTCTGTTCCCCATTGCCCACTCTTGCCAAAGTAAGTACAGGACTCAACTCATCAGAAGTCTAGGGGGTGATGTTAAAACAAAGCTAGGGATTACAGGGTGGGAAGAAAGTAATTTTTTTTTTTAGCAAGAACAGATTCTTGAACTTCCATATAGGATGCTCTCGGGATATAAGGGATATATTTTGCAGCTTGCTGGCCTAGAACAAGGGACATTGCACAGGAAGAAATTGGTGACTCAGTGACAGAACATCTCTTAACACTATTTTCCAGGCTAACCTTTGCGATGAATTGCATGATTTCAGGAAACAAGAAAAACAACGACGAGGACAATAACAAAAACCTAGTGCCTCCTAATCCCATCCTCTCCAATAACAGATTTCTTAACCAGAAGACAACATCTTTCACTGTGCTATTAGGAATAAGATAAAAAAAAAGAAACTATCCAATATGGAGATGAGTACTGACTGATATTTATCACACTAACGTGCCCATTACAGATATCAGAATCCAAGAAAATAAAAGAGCAGAACCTCTGAAAACTAAAAAGCAAGAAAATGTCTATGCTCTTCCTAAAGGTAATTCATCTTCCTACCCATTTGTAGGTATCTGGATAATTTAAAGGGATTTTTTTTTTTTTTTTTGCACATATAAAATGAATAAGATTTTGTGGATAAAGTTTGAATATCCATTGGCTTCAAACCATCCAAATGTCTGACTGAAAAATGTGTGTCACTCCCTTGAATTGCATTCAACAGAAGCTGCCTGCCAAGTCCGTAATCCGGTCTCCAGATCTTGGAGCTCCAGCCAGCCCTGGTACAGTATGCACAGCTCCCTGCTCTGTAACCCCAGACCCAGGGATAAATAATTGAGTGAGATCTATTTAATGGCGATAATACCTGGCCTCATAATTCATTTATCAACCCCTTGTGTTGGTAATTAGAATAATAAGGTTTCATGGGCTTTCGAGAGTGCTTTCACAGTTAGCTGAAAGAGCACACTTTGGCCTAACTTACAAAATAGATAATTTACCCACAACACATGATACAGCCCTGATGACACAGGGGAGTCAGGATACGCTATGCTGTCTTTGACACATTCTCATGCCAGGAAACATGTTCCTTCTTTGGGTTAGGTCAAACTGACTCTATTTTCCTCTTGCTTTCAGTTGGATAGTATGATTAGGCAACCAATGTATTGCTCAAGGAAACGAAAGACATTTCAAAACTGGTCTTGAAGGCAACTGTAATCAAGACTTGTACTCATGAGCCCTTCCCGATAAAAGGGATCAGAAGAGTGAGAAGTCTTTTCTTAGTAAACACTGTTGTTTAAAAAAATTTTTTTTTTGACTCATTTAAATGGACTCCAAGTCAGAACTCTTACTGTTCCTAAAATAGCACTGAGTAATTGAAAGGAAGTTGCAGAGGTTGGAAGCTACTTTCATGCACAGAGACTGGAAATAAGGACTATAGGCCTCTTAGATAATAGAACTCCATAATTAGACTGGTAGCATTACTTAAAATCATGC